GTATTAAAGGCTCGCGGCATTAGGAAGGTTGAGAACACTGGTCTAGAGGGCTTGCTGGCCTGCAACAGACTAGACCAGCCGTGGGCAAACTACCGCGCGGCGGACCGGATCCGGCCCCTTTGAAATGAATAAAACTAAAAAAAAAAAAAAAAAAAAGACCGTACCCTTTTATGTAATGATGTTTACTTTGAATTTATATTAGTTCACACAAACACTCCATCCATGCTTTTGTTCCGGCCCTCCGGTCCAGTTTAAGAACCCATTGTGGCCCTCGAGTCAAAAAGTTTGCCCACCCCTGCTTTAGGACATGAGCTTCCAATCGGCCTGAGTCATGTGCCCCAGCCAAGGGAGGGCAGGGCATGTTGACTGGAGAAAAAAATAAGGTGGCTACCAAAATAACAGACCTGCCTACGGGGCTAGGCACCAACAGCGGGCTGTTCGAAGGTTTTGCTTCAGTTTTTCAGTATCATAAAGAGAGGAACGAAAGCATAGCTGGCCATTCCTTCTCCTCTATCCAACTCCTCAGAGTCAATTCCAGGACCATCTCCCGACCACAGAGTCACTTCCAAGTTCCCTGAGGCCCCAGGCTGCCCGCTGGGCTCGTGTCACCGTCCTCCTCTCCTCCCCCAGCATCTCGTCTTCTCCATCTTCCCTGTTACTGCTGGGAGCAAGTTGTAAAAATGAATATTTTAAAATTCATCCTCCAGGAGGGCCCTTGCAGGTGAAGAAACATCGTCCTTTAGGCAATTTAACTCCATTCCAGGGATAAAAATAAGTAAGACCCAGGGTAGCTGAGAGGAGAGAGGGATTAGGATGAATCATCCTCACTGAAGCAGAATCCAAGCTCCAGAACCAGGCCCTGAGCAGACCCTTCTTCGGGGCCTGGTCAGCGTGATGCTGGGCTCGTTGAAGCCTCGTTTTTGCCCTCGCTGTGACGGACCCTTTGCACCTGTTCTCATCATGTAACAGCTGGGTGCTAGTTCCTTCCCAGAAAGCTCCACTAGCACCTGGCTCCAGGCACTGAGATGCCGGAAGCCGGTTCATCCTTGCTGCTTGACACAGTTGCTGCAGGGAAGAAACATCTGCACAGCGTATGTTTCAAGGGACCTGGCGTATATGGCATACTGTTCTTAATATGTTTGCTGCCCTTCTTGGCGCTATGTGTTTTAACCAAGGTCACCTTTCTGAGGAAGGTTGTTTCCCCAGGTAGGGATTTTTCCCTGAAGTTAGGGAGGGAATAAAATCCCCTAAACTAAGTGCCAGTTGGGTAGTTAATCGCCTTAAGGTGCATCATCTTTACTCCCTGGAATGGAGATAAGAAACGCCCTGACCTTTGGAATAGAAATTGATAGGATTAAAATCACCTGGTATAAATACAGATGTAACAAGACCATAAAACACAGAACCTGGGTAAGTGGCCTTGTTCTCCACCTTTTCCCTTTTGGTTCTGCTGACGCTGCCCGGCTCTCCTCAGCCTCCGGCCCGCTCTCTCCTTGAGACCGAGCACCATGCCTTCAATTAAACTGCAGAATTCTGATGGAGAGATATTTGAAGTTGATGTTGAAATTGCCAAACAATCTGTGACTATCAAGACCATGTTAGAAGATTTGGGAATGGATGATGAAGGCGATGATGACCCAGTTCCTCTACCAAATGTTAATGCGGCAACGTTAGAAAAGCTCATTCAGTGGTGCACCCACCACAGGGATGACCCTCCTCCTCCTGACGATGGTGAGAACAAAGAAAAGCGAACAGATGATATTCCTGCTTGGGACCAAGAATTCCTCAAAGTTGACCAAGGAACACTATTTGAACTAATTCTGGCTGCAAACTATTTAGACATCAAAGGTTTGCTTGATGTTACATGCAAGACTGTTGCCAATATGATCAAGGGGAAAAGCCCTGAAGAGATTCGCAAGACCCTCAATATAAAGAATGACTTTACTGAAGAAGAGGAAGCCCAGGTCCGCAAAGAGAACCAGTGGTGTGAAGAGAAGTGAAAAGTTGTGCCTGACACTG